ATTATATTACACAAGCTGTCGGTGTGATATAATTGTGTGATATTCACTATATTGGACATCCACACACCCACACATTAGAGGACTGTTTCTTTAATAAGATTTTACACTGTCTAACACAAGGGGCACCCTTTCAAAGATTATTAGATCAGAGTGGAAACAAGACTGAAAAATGCCTCATTCGTGTCCTTTTCATGTCAGAAACTATGTATCTGCATCACCAGTCCCATTTGCATGTAATATTTCTGGTTTCTATGTTTTCTATGTAATTTTTCTATATCACAATATGCTCTCTTCTCACTTGCTAAAATTTTTACAGCTTGGACAAAGTTTACAAATACGAACACATAAAATATGACAAAAATAACCAAAAAGAAAAGAGCATAAACTTTTCAAAGTTCCTGAACATCTGTTTTTTTGGATTTGAGGGATGATTGCTATGAACTTCTGGAGATTATCATCCTTAACCACCCTAAAAGATATGGTGACATCATACACACAGAAAGGCATCTGAGGTGATGACATGCTTCAGAGAAGCATTTTCTGAAAAGTACCATTAGATGGGTAGTAAATGGAGTGGAACAAGTCATTTGCAACAAGTTTTTTTTTTTTTTTTAATTCCATCTTCTTTCTTGGCTAGAGAAATACCTGCAAGCAATTTGAAGTCTGCTTCTGCCTGGGTTCCAAGTGAGCCCAGTGGCACAGCTAAATGCTAAATAGTCTGTTGAGCGAAATAGTGAGGTGCCTGAGAGGAAAAGAAGATGCCAAGGGATGTATATGCCAAAAACTTTTTAATGTCAGATATAACAGGGTCATTTACAATCTACACACTAATTACCTATAGAATGCAAATCAGAAGCCACAGTATTTTTATTTCTTCCCTTTGTCCTCTATTTATCTTCGTGGGAACATTCTTCATTACATTTCACTGTCTGGTCAGGAGATACCAGAGTAGGCTCTTGAGGGCATTGCATTCTGTTTGTGCTTCACCAAGATATTACTTTTGGCAGGATGTTTATTTCTTTTCTCCTCTTTCTTTGTTTTCTATGCCTATGCAGTATGTCTTTACAATTCTCTTGACTCGATATTCTGAGCCATTTATTTTCCTCTTCCGTCTCCCTGTCTTTTCTTACCCTTTATTCTATTCCCCTTCTGTCTCTCTTTTGTCTTGTGTCTCCTCTGTTGTTTTGACTTCTGGCTCTTTGCCATGAAAAGTAACTTCACTCATTTATTTTATTTTCCTTCTGTTTGGAGAAGGCTTGGAAACTGTGGAAATTCTTTCTGGATCCTTTTATTCTGTTCGTGTCCTTGACCTACTTTTATCCAGTGTTCTTAGTGTACCAGTGGTTAGGAGGTTTTTATGCTTGTCTTGCATCTTGCATAAGAATGTTTTTCTCTCTGCTCTCCAAAATGTTCCACATTTCCAGTAGCTCCAAGCCTTCTTGCTTTGTAGAGCTTCTTTTTATGCCTTCAATGATTGATTCCATTCTTGTTCTCTTCTTCATGTGTCTTTTCCATTCTTCTTGTTCAGCTGTTAATTTTCACATGTGGAGTTTGGGTCTTGATGCCAGCTTTTCTAAGGAAATAGGAAGGAGGGAGAGGAGAGCATCATAGGCCAGATATCCTAGAGATGGCATAGGAAAGAACTGTATGGTGAGCAGAAGCTCTTCCATGAAGCTTGTAGGATTAAGGACCCAGTATAAGATTGCAGTTCAGTATTTTTTCAGTATAATGTGGGTGGGAAATGTCAGCTGGCTCACTGCATCCTCTCCAAAATGTGTTAACATATAAGCAAGCTTGTAGTTTTCCATGTTATAACTCTTACTAAGACACTATACCTGTAACACGATGCTGTTCTGGCTTTATTGCATTCTATGCTAAAGCAATTTTAGTGGCTGACTTCAATGTAGATATTTCATAGATAGTGTGAAAAAAGGTTGCTGTAGTGGTATGGTTTCATTTGATATTTTATGGAATCACTTGAACTACAGCTCAGTGTAATTAAAACGTTACCTGGGACTTGCGTATAGTATAGTGTATTTGATACTGCATCTGTCTGCAAGATTCTAAAAATCTTGTTAAACTTTTTGGCTAACATTCTCATTGTCTCAAAAAAATCTGTATTGTCCTCGTTTGGATGAGCTGAAGGGAATTAAAGCAAAATAGTTTCTAATTTGTCAATCATTTTAGTTTAGTATGTTCCACACAGGCTCCTTTTGGTAGGCTATGAAGTATTCCCATGCTATAGTTATCCAAGTCCCAAAATACCGTGATACCCTGGAGAAGATCTTTTTCTATGACTGGGGCAGATTGGGAAGATCCCATTGAGATTAATTAAGACAAATTTAAAATAGCTCAGGGGTTTATGGAAGTCCTTAAAATAAAGTCTTCCTGAAGGAGCCTGTACCGGTTAAAGTTACCTACTTAAGGATGTACAGTATATTTAAAGCAATTTGAATTTGTTTCTTCCAGACATTAATTACAGAGTGTTGTTGTTTAACCCGGTAATAACAATAACAATAATAATGTAATAATAATAATAATCATCATCATCATACACAAAGCAAGTGATGCACAGTACAATTGCTCACCACCCGCTGACTGATGCCCAGCCAGTCCCCGAGCAGCGGCCCCCCCGGCCAGCTTTCCCCCAGTTTATGTACTGAGCATGACGTCACATGGTATGGAATATCCCTTTGGCCAGTTTGGCTGTGCCCCCTCCCAGCTTCTTGTGCACCTCCAGCCTTCTCAGTTGGTAGAGCATGGGAAGCTGAAAAGTCCTTGACTAGCGTAAGCACTACCTAGCAACAACTAAAACATGGGTGTGTTATCAACATTATTCTCACCCTAAATCCAGAACACAGCACTGTACCAGCTACTAGGAAGGAAATTAACTCTATCCCAGCCGAAACCAGGACACACAGGCCGAAATTTAACAAATGCTAAATGGCATAATTGTGTTATAGTAGAAAGGTTTCTCCAGTAAAAAATTACTTAGAAGTTATATTGAAAGTAAAGGCAGCATTTCAGAATATCAAGAAAATTCATAAAAAGCAGTAAAATCTTCACTTAGTTCTATCAGACAATAAATATCACTAAACACTTATTTTATTGCTTGGAGGGAATTGTTTCTTTTAACTTTTTTGTTATTGTCCATTTTCATTCAGTAGTTTCTCGATTGTATGAGTATATGGTTTTGTATAGCACCTAAGAGGGCTTGTTAAAAGCTCACTTCTGGTGAAGATACAGAGTTTGATATTTATGCAATCAAAGTTCAATGTAGGATGGGGCTCTGAGATGGGTGCATCCGATTCTAAGACTCACTCAGAGATGTCAGGTAAGGTGAAATGTAATCAATTTTGCATTTACTACTGCAGGGCAAGCTATGTCATCACCTCTGATATGCAGTGATACGATCTTCAGAAATATATTTTGTCTAACACAGTGTACCTTTCATACAATATCACTGAGCTGATCAATCAAATGGTGAGAGATATTTAATAAACATGCTTGTAATTCAAGCCAGTAACATTCTAACCATTTTAAAGAAGATACATTTGGTGAACAGTAGTTCCGCAGTGCTCAAATTCAGGATGTGCTCTGTATATTTATTTAACTATTTAACACTTCCAAACAGAGGCAAGCTATATAGGATAAAATCATAACCTGAATTTCACCATAAAATATTCTGAATGTTACTGTATGTTTAAAAACCCCCCACCTCTCTGTTCTTTGTATCTAAAACAAGTTAATGGAAACAACTAGAAATAGGTATATAGAATTGAAATCTTTTAAGTGTTTTGATTCTTTACACAACTTGTGATTGTTTGGTATTGGTTGCTTTTAGAAGAGACAGAATAGCTTTACTTAGAAGTATATATATAAACATAAACCTGCTAACATCGACTCTGATGAAAATGGCAGTGATTGCTTTCAAACAAAAAAAAAAGTCAAGATATGTGAGAAACATTTGAAACTATGCCTAGCACACTGTGCCAATCATTTGAAAATGATCTTATCCAAGTATGTGTTAATTTTGCACCTGTGTTCATCAAATATTTTAATTCACTTTTAAATGCACTGAGGTTTCTTTAATCTTTGAAGTGAACATTTGCCAACAGTAAATATGTCGCAGATCTGACACAGGAAGGGGGAGAGGAGAGTTCATATAGGTTTAGGGTATAGTTGTAGTAAAAATGCAGTAAAGGCCAGCTTTTTATTTGAGGTTTTATAGCTTCTGCTGTAAATATTGGCATAAATGACACATATTGTAGAGCTATGGCATATGTTGCTTTTGAAAGAAAGACATTTTCACTTATTCAGTGAATTGAGGCCTCATGTTACTCCCTGCAGACCATGTCATACCCCTTTCCAACCTCTCAGGACCAATGGCTTATCCAAACTAAACATCTGCTTTTCCATTCAGTGCAATTATTCAGTGTGCTGCTGGGGGCAGATGGTTGTTAATTGGCAGATCATTAATGTGGCAGGCCACTCTCTCTTTCTAGCCTTAGAAAGGTCACAAGGTGTTAAGTTCCCTCACTCCAGGCTGGTAAGATGCAGATCTTTTGATTCAGTTGGATTTTTTTATGTATAACTGCAATTGAATTACTTGATACAATTATGGAGGAGCTTTTAATTAAACCTTTTTTCCTTTAAAAAAAAAAATAATTGTTTTTACAGTGTAAGAATGAGCAACCAAGAGATGGGTTAGTGTCAATTACACTGTAGCTGTCAGAAAGTTTGAAAGCTGAAATCTGGTGAGTGTGAATCCTAATCAGATAGCAATGAGGATGCTCTGCTGCTACTCTAACACAGTCTCCATCTATATGTGTCAATTTTCTGCAGAATTTAATTTAGCCCTAATGATGAAGAAATCTCTCTATTCACACAGTCCTGTCAAGTCAAACTTTGGACAATCTAAATGAAGTAGACGAGGGCTTCAGGGAGAAGTAGCAGAGTGACATGCTGAAGAGATTTCACTTTCTTTTTCATTCACGCAGGTTATATTGAGGAAGCCTGTATTATTCCATGTCCCTCAGACTGCAAGCTCAGTGAGTGGTCCAACTGGTCTCGCTGTAGTAAATCTTGTGGGAGTGGGGTAAAAGTTCGGTCTAAATGGCTCCGCGAAAAACCCTACAATGGTGGAAGACCCTGTCCAAAGCTAGACCATGTCAATCAGGTAATTTGATTTATATTTACATTTTTGATACAGCTTTTTCCATACCTCAGATAACCCTTTTAGCTGTATTGCTTGTTGATGTAGAAAAACTATACAGCATAAGGGGCAGATGCAGGTAGAAGGAGCAGTATGTGTTGGCTTAGATTTCCTCAGTCGGCATAGGATCTGTCTTCATTACTTCCTCATCTGCAACAACTTAGCACATTATCTGAACTGCAGATTGAAGACAATAAAACATTCTTACATGCAGATTGTGAAGACCACGTTTCTGAAGATCTTCTCGTACAATGGGTAAAATGTCTCATTACAGATGCTCAAACTGGTAAGATTCTTAGTGTCATTCCCCCACCATCTTAGATCAGAAAGCAAATTAAAACTTCTCAAACACTCACACAGTAGCATCCCAATGTCCCTTAATGGGTTTTAGTCAAGCTGGAGCTTGACCTTCCGGGTACACTTGCTCTGGCACTGCAGTTCCAGTCAGGAATGCAATTCTGAAGTCAATCTCCCAGTTGTCCTACTAAATGCACTTGATTTTCCAGTATGGAGCAATCTGGCTGGACAGTCTGGATCCTCTTCAAGTGAAACTAAGCCAGAAAATGTGATCCAAGAGCACTTGGGAGTGCTTTGACCACTAATGAGCATTTAGTCTTTGGGACCAAGTTTAGCACTAGTCCAAGTCAGACCCCTGAAGCTTGTTTGCTCCTGTTTGCTTGGAGAGTTTTAGAAAGAAAAACATTCCTTGACAATTAACTTATGCTCTTCAAAGTTGATTTATATTCATATGACTGTTGAATTTAATTTAGTCTGCAGAGGCATGTTAAACAGCCACACAGTCTTCTCTTTAAATATTAAAAAAAAAAAAAAGAAAAAAAATGTGCTGTCAATTTACATTTGAATAAAAAGGCATGTACTTGATATTATCCTATTGACATTTTGCTAGCACAGAGTGAAATGGCTTGTTGATCTAATTTTCTACTTTAGGGAATGTAATTAATTCTAATTTAGAAAATAATAAGTGTTAAACTGCAGCTAATAAACTAAGTTTGTGACCTACTTTAACAAAATACAAACTAGAACAAGGGTTGCTGGATTTGGGTCAGCATGTAAATATGCTTTAAATTAGGAGGAATGTGTGTCAATAGGAGCAAATTATAGTCTATACAGAAGTCTTTTTCCTTCTTTAATATTCATGTAGTATATAATAGGTTCGTATTTTTCTGCATCAAAGGTGATTTTGCTAGAGGTCTGTTAGCCACTTGTATGCAACACTGTTGCCCTCTACCGGTACTTTAACTCAAATTTGATTTGTTGCAATGTTACATGATACTTGCCAAATAATAATAGATGATTCAAAATGTAATTATTGTAAAAATAAAATTGAAAAATAATACTTTCATGAGAAGTGAGCTCTACAGATAAGATAGGAATGTCGAAGAATATAGAGGCTGTATCTTTCAATTTTAAATACATTCACTGTTAATTCAGAAACATTCAGGGAATACAGCTGCATTGTAATTTTGAGTTAATTATTTAATCTAAATGTGATTCACCATTCATTCATCTGGAAAACTACTGACTCTTCAGAATATTTATTTCTATTATTAAATATAATTTGTTTTATTTATGTATTTATTACTTACATATGTAACATGCTTATTTGCGTACATACAAAGCATAATGATTAGACTGGGTCTTTGGTGCCCACAAGTATGTGGAAGATGATGTACAGAGGGGCTATGCTGTAAGTTGAGATCTAGGAATTATGAACTCTGAGGAAAGACTGCAACGTGTTGTCTAGCCCATGGACGAGAAGATGGGAAGGAGAATGCTGGCAGTCTGCTGGCATGTATATAACAGGCTGTTGCAAACAAGGAGGAATAATCCATTTTCCATGGCCATCGTAGATAGGATAAAAAGCAGTAGGCTTAGTCTGCTGCAAGCAGATTTGGGTTAAGCCTTGGGAAAACTTTCTAATGGTAAGGCTAGTGAAACATTGAAATAACGTGCTTAAGACATTTGTCAAGTTTTAAGAGCAAGTTGCTTGTCTCTCAGGGCTGACATGTATGACTGTATTTTGGAGGGGGACTGAACGCAGTGAATGCTAGGTGTTTCATTGAGTGTGTTTCCTCCTGGGCCATGCATGCCAGGGTGACTCCCAAACCACACTCCAACAGAGTGAAACTTGCTCAGTACCCACTTCACCAGGCTAAAAGTCATCATAATTACAATAACAATAGAGTCAGGTTTATTATAAAATCATGTCAATGGCCTTCAGAGGATTTAAAATGAAGAGGCTAATCTGAGACTGTTAGAGAAAATAAGGACATCCTTCTCTTCATTGGCTGCAGGCATTATTTGCCCCCTTATCCAGCAGGTGGGTATGCAATCCTTACACCACCCAACTGCCATGGCCTGCAGTCATAGTTACAAAAATGCCAGTAGAGTCAGGAGAACACTAAACACATGCAATGCAATATAGAGTTCTGCTTTGTCTTTCTGGCAAAATATCAATTTTTTATGTTAGTGGAAAGGCTGTTGAACATGCAGGATTTATGTATTTCTTCTTATGCCAACCAGGGTGAGACATATAGAGATATTTCCCTAAATCAAGGCTTCGCTATTCTCATTTTGGTAATCCTGGACAAGAATAAATAAAGTGCCACTTCCCATGGGACTACAAATTGTGCACTGAGTCCAGTACCTTCCTTAACATGCATTTACATCACCCATCTTTATGCCTGAGTTAATGCTTATGTAGTTCAAAGAAGGCCCAAATGTGCTGACTGTGCTGGTCTTCTTGTGCATGGGCTGATCAGCTGCGTAGTGATATATCAGACTCTCTACGCATTCATTGTTCAAGGCATTTTTTTTTTTTTTGTGACTGGTGGTAATTTGTTGCAGGTTAACTGATAAATTATCAACCCATCAGCCCTCTTTTTCTACCCAAGCAGTGTTGCTGAAAAGAAATCAAGGATTTGTTGAAGACAATGTCTTAGATTGTCTAGAAATATTAGTTGTGCTGACTCGATACCCAGAATGATATGTGAAGTTAGCTGGTATAAGATAATTTTGAGGCAGTGGGCTTTAAGTAATCTATGCATAATTAAGATACTCAATGAAGGACTTAGGAACTTTGGAAGGATGAGAACTGCCAGTTTCTTTTATTCCCCTGAATCTATTGCACTTAATGCTGTCAGAACAATTTCAATTAATAGGCAAGTCCAGTATGCTCTCCAAAACCACTGAGGATTTTCTCTTGTTTTAGGGAAACTGGATTCCCTACTGTGTGAAGAGTTGATGCTCATTATAGGCAAAAAGGGAAAACAGTTTTATCGTGTGTTACGGATGGAGAAAGAGACTAGCTAAGTTACAGTCTCTTCCCACTAATTGTGATTTATAAACTTTTATTTTCTTCCAAGGGCAAACTTCTTGCAAAAATGCCTCATGATAGCAAGGGAGAACCAAGAGTTAAAATTGGATGCCTTTTGCTTGGCAGAAGTCATAGAATATTATTTGTAATAAAAGCTAAATGAATGCCATTTAAATACTTGTGCTTCATTCTAATCATTCTTTCTTTTTATCTTTGTTTTTTATTTTGGGTTCATGAAAATACTTTCTTCAGGCTCAGGTAAGAGTTTCTAAAATAGAGAGATAACCTTAACGTGCTTCCTGATTGTGCTCCAATGTTTATGTTGTCTGTCCTTTTTCTGTAATGTATGTTTGAGAAAATATATGGAACACTATAAATTACTATATGAGATACTATTTCAAATCTGTGTTCAAATCTAAACTTAATACTAATGCTGGTACATGAACGTATTAGAGTGATTTTAAGCATCCACAATGAAACAGAAAGTGAACCAGTATATATTGGTATAATTTACCTTGAGCTCACCTCTTTAGAAATACAAAAACCCCACAACTAATAGCAGTGGGATGGAATAGTTGAGGAGAGATGTTGAAGGATAGAAGTGAAGTTTTAGCAGAGTTTTAGCAGCATTTTTCTAAAAGGTATACTCATGAACTAGCCTAGTTACAGATTTTATGTTATTTGTGTTGATGTTATTGGTGGAAATGGCATATCATGGGCTTAGTGGCAGAGAAAACCAGGAAATCTGTCATTAGATGTCTTAGCTTCTGAGTTTTTGTTATTTCTATAGTTTTCTATCAAGTATGTTACCTGCGTTATTACTACAGCCTCTAAATCAGCAAGTTTACATTTGTTATTCTTACCAAAAAGAGCATTAACCTTTTTTTGCATGATCACTGTTGCATGTTTATCTTACTTGTGTGCAACGAAACTGACGCTCGATGTGGATTCCAGGTATATGAGGTAGTCCCCTGCCACAGTGACTGCAGCCAGTATGTATGGGTTACCGAGCCCTGGAGTGTCTGCAAGGTGACCAATGTGGACTTAAAAGAGAATTGTGGAGAAGGTGTTCAAACGAGGAAAGTCAGGTAAAACAGTATTGCTCCTCCTTCATTTTAGAGAACCTTCACTTTCAGTCATGGCTGTATTTAATTTGATGTAATTCTGTGTAATGTATAGTGTTAAGTCCAGCCATAGTATACTGGACCAGAATCCTGGCTGATGTAAATCAGAATAGCTTCAGAGAGTGCAATATGGCTTTATCTACTGGTTATGGATATAGACCTTGATTCCTAGTTTATAAACTAATGTATATTGTACTTACTCTACTACAAACACTGCAATGTATGATTTTAGTGCTTTTCTGAAAGGTGAAATGGTCCTCTTTCTATATGAAACTATGATTTAAAAAACCCTTTTAAGTACATATGCACTTGGGAATAATAGTTAAACTTATTACCAGAAAAAGTGGCAGAAGTGAATGAAGTGAAATAGAAAAATCCAGAAATCTTCTGTTGTTTATTGAACCTGATCTAGGCGTCTTGTATGCTTGCTCATCACCCTAGAGCTCTAATCAAAGGTTAATTAAAATTAGTCTCACATGGCGTGGTCCAACAATAAGTAAAGCAGTACATGAAGTTTGGGTTGATTGGGGTTTGTTTTGGGTTTTTTTTATTGGCTAACTGCAAAATGACACATAATTTGAGATTATAAATCTAAATAATAAAGCATAGTGTGAATTCAGTTTGAAGGTCCAAAATGAGACCTGTGTACAGTTTTCCCTGCCACAAGTGCTTAGAAACTGGCACATTTAAACGATTTGTTCACAATAGCACTGTTTCCTCAGTGTAACCATTTGCTTCAAGAAGGTCGAAGTCTTAATCTTTGCTTGACCAAAGTTAGAAAGACTATGCATAACTGTTCTTACACAGTAGCATCTAAACAAATTCCCATAAGAATGCTCTTAACAAAACTCCAATATGAAAAATCAAAATTAATCAGTGTTTATATTGACAAATAGACTTTAGCACTACCATCAAAGATAAAGAAAGTGTTTTCAGCCCTATGGGACTAAAAACATCTAACTTTTCATTTATTATCACATAATGCCATTAAATTACTAATTCCACAAGGCTAATATATGCTCATGATGTATCTTTTGTGTTTACCTTAGAACAGAAAGTGTTTCAAAAATTACTTTAGTCTGATAATGTAAGATATTTGAAAAAAAAATTAATGTGGTCAAATGAAAGAAACTCTGAATATTTATCTGTGTGTGGAAAGCTTCCTATTGATACAACCTTTTCTCTTGCAATTCTGGGAAACAGATGCAAGCCTCTTAATTTGAATGATCCTAGTTATGTACTAGTTGGTCTCCTGCTGACAGGTGGAAGGGATACATTAAGAGTAGATGCCACAGCATTGAAAATACTGTGGAATGAAGACTGTCGTCTTCTGGTCTACAAAACTAAGCATATTCATTTCTCAACTGGGCCTCCAGCTGCTAATTTAATATAATGGTAATTAAAAAGCATCTGTGTAAATTAGGGATTAATACTAAGAATATAAAATTTTAAAAGTTTTACTATTTCTACATTTAAAATTATAATTTGAAGCATGCACAAAATATGTCTGAACTATAGATGATTTGCATTATTCTGGCTTAGAGGTAAGCTAATGTCAAGTAAATCATCTCCCAGAAACTCTCGGCGAATCACTGATAGGGACTGTCTAAATTCTGTGCATTTCTGTATATGGCTGTCATCTGTAAAAACGAGGATTATTTTTGGCTCTTTAGCTTTTCTTGGCTATTCATAGATCAATACTTAGTTCTGTTACTTCAGTTACTTCATGATTATTATGTGCTGACAAAATGTTAAAATGCTTCAGAATGCTGTGGAACAGAGTTACTGTACAAAATCCACGGCAAATGCAGTTTATGTGCAGTTCTTTTTTCCAGGTGCATGCTAAACACTGTGGATGGTCCTTCTGACACTGTAGAGGACTATCTGTGTGATCCTGAAGAGATGCCACTTGGTGCTAGAAAATGCACGTTACCATGTCCTGAGGACTGTGTTATGTCTGAATGGGGATCGTGGTCTCGATGTTCTTTGGTAAGCAGTATACTGAAGTGTAACATTTATAGTTTTAGGAGGATACTTTAAATATATATACATGACGTATTGTGCAAAGATGCTGAATTGAGCAGTGATTACACATGTAAATATCTATCTTTACTGTCATCTTTAGGGTCATTGATAATTGGTTGCAAATAAAGTGTGCCAGTATTTTCCATTAAGTGAAATTGTTCCAAAACACAAAATATAATGTCCCCAGTGGTCATTCTTCGGTGTGGGGTGGGTTCTGTGTGGTGGAATAGCTTTGGCAGTGGCTTGTGAGTCCGTCTTTGAGCCTAGCTGTGAGCCTCTCCATAGCAGTGCAGTCACTGTACTAAAAATGTCACTATCCTGTAACAAGCAAAGTCTGTAGATCAAGACTGAGCATAGAAAGATAATTTTGGGTCTCCTCTCCCCTTCCTGCCAGCAATTTCAAAAAGAAATGTCAAAAAACCCAACCCAAACATAAAAAAGTGTTTCAGGACCTCTGAGTATTCGGGCTCTGGTGCATGACATTATAGCATTTGGAAAGTGAGCATCTCAACATCCAGTTTATGAGTGAAATAGTTCCAGAGCACTAGTACTGAAATACAAACTAGTTAGGAAAGTACTGACGTGTTACCAAGATAGAGGATATTTCACCTTGGGTGGTACCAACGTGAAAGAGCAGACTAAATTGTCCTGAAATAACAAGGAAATGGTTTCTCTTACACAACAGCACAAGCCCGTTATTTTACATTTGTGTTTTGTGAAGGGATTACTTGAAAGGTTGTTATAACGTTGCATGAAAAGGTATCAGGGTGCCAAAATATCAAAGCTGTTTCCAATCTTCCTTTCAAGCCATGCAATGGAAGTAGTGTCCGTGAAAGGTCAGCTGAATCCCTGAGACAACCAGATGATGGAAAGTCTTGTCCTGCTGCCACCGAGACAGAAGTTTGCACTTTGAACAAAAACTGCTACCACTATGACTACAACGTGACAGGTATTTGTGGTGTTATGCTCTAGTGACAGCCTGGGACTATGGCTTACTTCCATTCACCTTACAGGACAGATTTTTCAGCTTTCTGTTCTTATCCAGAGAGAGCTGTGGAGCATGTACTGAAAACTGATTCAGGCTATTTGATCCAGATAAAATATTGCTGGAGGCTTTGCAACTTGGGTGAAGTGTGCATGCAGGAAAAGTATTTCTCGTATCATTTTGTGATTTGCTTAAAATCCATGCAGATGAAACCAAATATGAACTTTTCAGGAAGGCATCATGGCACTGACTATTTGCAGTAAAAGTCGCTGCTTCCAAAAATGTGTAGCAGCTGGGCTCCATGAGCCTTTGCAAATGTAAAAGTTGCTTGTGAGGATTATTTTAGGCCATCAGAATTAGAATTAGGTGAGTGATTGGATCATTATGAGTTTTATCTAAAATGTCTGCTACACTAATTAATTCCTTATTTCCAGACTGGAGCACATGTCAGCTCAGCGAGAAGGCTGTCTGTGGTAATGGTATCAAAACACGGATGCTCGATTGTGTTCGCAGTGATGGCAAATCGGTTGACCTGAAGTACTGTGAAGAGGTGAGTGGGTACCTGTGAGTAAGCTCTCTTCTGATGGTGCTAATTAATGCTGAGCCAACTGAGCTATACAGCATGTAACCCATCTTCACCAGATGTTTTGCAACACTATTCATGGATTGTTAAGTACCTTTTAAATGAACTGTGCCATCAACAGTGATTTTTATACAATTTCCTTCAGTTACTTTTAAGTGCCTCCGTGAACGTATGCTAATTATTATGTCCTGAAGGAAATGACTTAGAAACAATAATTAATAAAGTAGATTAAAGTTAATAAATCTTAATCAGAACACTAATCATCATTCTAATTTGATACAATTTCTGCATGGAGCCTTGGACAGCTGCCAGTATCAATCATTTACTCAATGTGTTGGAAAATATTTTTCACGTGCCATTCTGCAGCTGGGCTGAATGCTAACTTCTTGTATCCAGCTGTGCAGTGCAAAAGATACCCAAGCTAGTGTGAAAAAATGTGTAGCATGAATGAAAATGTGTAGCATGAATGCAATATTAAATAGGAGCATATATGGAGAACTAACCAGCAGACAGGAGCCCTTGAATTTTGAAAGAGCCATTTTGCAAATGTTCAAACAAACTTCAAATTTGACAGCACTGGTTTTCTGACATTTTGTGTGTTGGTCTTAATGTTTTCAATCGCATGGAGATAGTAATGTGAAGGAAAATGGGAAGACAACACAAGTGTTACATTAAGGGCAATCCTACATGCTTTTCTGATGGAAAGTAACTGAACTTGTTTCAGCTGCCATTCCCCCACCACGTGACATCAGAAACAAAATCACTTGCAGTGGGGGACTAAGGTAGAGTGCCCTCCACAGCAGCTTTGGTACCAACACTTTTTCTGTTGGATATTCCTGGCTAGTAGCTGCTATTCAGGATGTGCCCATAGAGAAGAGTCTCATCAGAAGTGGAGGGAGTCAGGAAACTCATCGTGTACTTTGGACTATAGTTTTGTAATGGTGTATCTGACATACTTAGGCTTCTCCAACCTCCTCCGACATCCTGGATTCCTGAATCCCTAAGTTCTTCACAAAGAGTTTCAGCTGAGGCTGGCACCCTCCTTTTGTCCCAAGTTCCTCCTTCACACGTAGCTCTTGGGTTTATAATTGAATCTAATAATTTGATCACTTACGTCTCAGGAAAAAACTTGGGATCTGGCTATCTACCAGCAAGTTTCTGTGAAGTTAATAGGGGAATGCATTAATGCATTCTGTTAATGTATTAAAGCATTAAAAGAAAAAAAATTTGGCTCTCGGGTTATTTGTTAGAGACTGCAATATTGATTAATTCACACCAAGACATGACATAAAATATCCATCCACATGAATATTTCCATAGAAAAAAATATGCTTTTTTAGATTTTAAGGGGAAAGATTTCTTTTACCATAAAGCCAAGAAATTATTCCTGTTGTTAAAGATTTTGAGCAACATTTAGAACAAATTATTACATTTTACACTGAAATCTCATTGCAGAAAACCTCTGGAGCTTTCCTGCATTTAAGAAATGAAAGTTTATTACTTAGAGAAATAATTAGGGCAACAAGATAATATCTGAAAAGCTATTTGTCATAAACGACTGGCCAACAGACATCACTGCAGTGGGGTCCTGGCTTTATCAGCAACCACTGTGACACAGTCTTATTTGCCTTTTTGATTTGCTAGACCATATAGAGATACATCTTCCTGTAGAAAGCTCTGATCCACTCCCGTCATACTGTTAAGACTGTTTGTTGCATTATGGATGTGTAAGCAGTGGTACAACAAGGTCAAAAGCTGATCCAATAACTATGAGGAGTAAAACCTGTTAACCTGATTAACAAGAAAGCCAAGCTGTTCAGATCTTACCAGAACCTTCGCTCTAAAGATGTGAAAGCCAACTCTGTGACCTTCCAGGTCATGAGAAGAGAGTATTCAAAAAATTAGCAAAATGTGAATAAATACTATGCACTTCTTGCTGATCTAATCACAGATGATCCTTCAAGGTGTTTTTCTTTTGCCGTGTTTTTGCATTATAAGGGCAGTGCAGAAAGATTAAGTGAAGTTCAAAATAAGGTGCATGTGGTTAGAAAAGTTGATGATAAGAGAAAGATGAAATAATTTTGTAATGACTTAGCTAATGGAATTTCCCCTGGGCTATCATAAAACTTTATACTAGATGTGTGAATAAAACGAAAGGTTTGTTTAATTTATATGTACATACATTTACAGAATTATGATTCTTATTATTATATGCGAAGAAGAGAGATCAGAATAGCTAAACCTATCCTGATCCCTAAGAAATTAAGACCCATGATTGCAATGTCTGAGTTCCTATATATATATGTGGTTCAAGAAACTAATAAAAGCCATGTATAAAAAAACCCTTCACGCTGTCTTTTGCCTATCACCATCTCCAGCTATGAGCATCAGCACAGTTATATACTAACATTTCTTCCGAGCCCCTGTGTTCTGGTTTCCTAATGCATCCATATGATCTTGTGTTTGTTTCAGTCAATCAGCTAAAGAAACTAGCCAGTCATCCTGATTACTGCCAGGATAAATCAATTTCTAGAGCTTATTTCCAAGTCCTCGGTATGTTAACATAGTTCCCTTCAAACTCTCAAGGCATAGTAATACTGGATTACTTGGTCTCTAACTCTACAAAATTAGCACATCACAAGAACTCGGCTTGTCTTTTTCTTGAGTATTTGAAAATCAAATCACCTAAAGCAAGCTGGTCCTGGTCATATTCATATTTATGGGCTTATTTTTATTCATTTACCTTCAATTAAAGATCAGAAAAACCTAGAAACCAGCAGTTTTGTCTGCGTTAGAAAGCAAACTTTTCTGTTTTATTGGCAAATGGTCTGCTTGTCAGATTACATGATTAACTTCCAGCAGAGGTTAATCTGCGGTGCCAAACATTCCTATAAACACAGATACTTTTTGTGGATCACAGGGTTTATAAAGCATGCTGGTCTGGCAGCCTGCTGCCCCTGGTGTGTGTGACCAGGAGTACAGGGTGCTCAGCGGTAGCTCTCAGTGTAACTCCTCCAGTACTTGCCATTCTTGAATCAGAAATCACAACTCATCCAGAACAGAGGCTCCTTCAGGTAAGAGAGCTACTGAACGCTTTTCCAAATGTTTTCTAAGCTCTTCAAGGTGAATTGTGGTTCATCAATTGAAGGAAGGAGAGGGATGAGAAAAGAATATGTGAATATCAAATTGCAGCCTGCCAGTTGTTCCTCAAATCTATTTCAGCAGCACTTCATTATCTTAAACATGCAAATGGCAGATCACTGTGGGTAATCTGGCCTTCAGCTTTCTCCTCTTCACCTTTAATATCTCTCTTGGGCTTTTCCTTCTCTAGCTGCCAAAGTCCAGCTGAGAAGGCCAGTCTTGAAAGAAAGCGGTCCTGGTATTATAATTGGCAGGAATCAATTCAGCAGGCTTCAAAGCCTTTGCTCAGAAGATTTGACCCAAATATAAACTTCAAAGATGGTTCTTTAGTTTCCTTATTATCCAAATTCCAGATTGTCCAAAGGTTTCAGATGTTGCCTGTGTGCAATAGCTGGATAATCAAGGTTATGCTGTACCACAGAGAAAAGTCAAGAACTCGTTCTTTGATGTATAAAACAGAACAGAGGTCTAAAACCTCATTTGTCTCAATAAATGGTACTGCAACTGCAAATTTAAGACTTGGTGAGTCTATCAGGGTGAGACATTTCCAGTACTTGTGGTAGTTTATTTATGGAGGACATGTTAATGTTGTGCCTAATTATTGCTCTATGCTTGCATTTAGTAGGAAATAGTGTTTTTATTTTCTTTTTAAAGTCTTAACTGCTGGTTTTATGTCATTAACCTTTCCAGTCATTAAAATTAATAGGTTTTGAACTGTCTAGTTTGCCTTTTTTTTTTTTAAACTATGTGGAGATGTTATCTACTTAAAGATATCCACAACCTCCTGGGATTCTGAAAAGCCTCGATGATGATCAAGGTCCACTGGTGAGGGCCAATGAAGAGGACAGTCTTTTATGCTAGGAAGCTGCAGATCTGTTCATATTGGCAGGATTGATTTTCTTTCACATTTTATATCATACACACTATAATTGGCCTATCCTTTTAACTCATTCTGAAGCTGTGCAGCCTGCAGGGATTGTTATGGTCATGCTAATATTTTTGCCACCAGTAGTATTCTATCATGCATCATATATTCTCATGTGTGTTAGAACATCTCTTTTCTTCCTTGGATGGGGAAAATCTGGAGCATGGGAGTTTATAAGAACACAGAAATGGCTTTACAGGATCAGACCAAAGGACCATGTAGCCACTGTGCCGTCTCCAAGTAAGGCCACAAAACTCTTCCTTCCCTGTGGGTATTCCATCATTTGTTAGTGTTAGGTTGACTCCTGACCAGAGAAGAGCTCAGTACAGAATGTATTTTTGGGAATACATGTGAGTCTGGCTATTTTCTGTGTACCCTTCTCTCATGCTCCTGCAGCATTTGCGGCTTTTACTTTAGTGATGTTAGAGGATTCTGCTTTTTGCAAAGCTTTTCAGAAAAACTTGCAAAGCTATATTTTTTTTTTTAGAACAAATCATTGTCGATGTCATGTCAATATTTTTGCATATAGTAGAATGGATAGCATAATATATATAATAAACTTGCACACCACCTTAGGAAAAACAAGAGTTCTCATGTGTGTTAGAACATCTCTTTTCTTCCTTGGATGGGGAAAATCTGGAGCATGGGAGTTTATAAGAACACAGAAATGGCTTTACAGGATCAGACCAAAGGACCATGTAGCCACTGTGCCGTCTCCAAGTAAGGCCACAAAACTCTTCCTTCCCTGTGGGTATTCCATCATTTGTTAGTGTTAGGTTGACTCCTGACCAGAGAAGAGCTCAGTACAGAATGTATTTTTGGGAATACATGTGAGTCTGGCTATTTTCTGTGTACCCTTCTCTCATGCTCCTGCAGCATTTGCGGCTTTTACTTTAGTGATGTTAGAGGATTCTGCTTTTTGCAAAGCTTTTCAGAAAAACTTGCAAAGCTATATTTTTTTTTTTAGAACAAATCATTGTCGATGTCATGTCAATATTTTTGCATATAGTAGAATGGATAGCATAATATATATAATAAACTTGCACACCACCTTAGGAAAAAAACAAGAGAGAGGCATAAGCAGATGTCTAAGGAAGAGTAAGGAGGACAGACATACACAAGTTTCCATCTACTCCTCTCGCAGCCTCCACCTGTTTTCAGCTCTTGGACTGCATTTGCCCAATGTGGTTTCTGTGTGTTTAAACCTTCAGATTTCTCTTCCATTAATTTGTTCAGTCTCTCTTGAGCTTCTGTAAACTTTTAGCATCTGCCACATCTTCTGACAAATAAACTGACTATCCAATGCATGTTCATCCTCCTCCTTTTGTCAGTTTTGAACCTGGTTCCTAGCATCACTCGAATTCAGCTGTTAATAGCTGTTGGTAGTTCAGTATTTATATATTCCTCTTTCAAAATACTATATTGATACTTCATAAATTACTTTGTCCTTTACCTATTGTATAAAGTAATACTGTAGAGCTGAAGCCCTCCATTTATAGGCTCTAATTTAGAAAATAATTGATGAAAACAGGATTTAAGCATGTATTTAAAAATCAGCATATGCATTACGACTGTCTTGAAGTGAGATTTTTAAATGTCCTAATTGCTTTACTTTTTATTTAGTAATTACTTCATGCTTGCTTAAAGCTTTAGTTGTCTCAGAGTCACCGTGTCCAAATGCGTACCCTGCACCGATGACACAGACCGGGTGTTACATGCTGACCACTGAATATTTTCTTTTAGCTTGGTTTGGAGAAGACATGGCAAATGAATATGTCCTGTGTGGTGGAATGTCCTGTGAACTGTCAGCTCTCTGACTGGTCCCCTTGGTCTGAGTGCTCTCAAACATGTGGCCTTACAGGTCAGTATGTAGCTTTGGCATATTTTAAAGACTGAGCTTTTTTTTTTTTCTTTAATAAAGGCAATAATATCTCTTTTTGCAGAACTAGAAAATGTAGCTAGCTAGGGAGAGTGATGGGGATCTAAATCCACCTTATTCATGGAAATAATATGCTTCAGTGAGACTGTTCTCACTGAAGATAATGAGAATTTGGCTCAGAATAGCTTCTGACTCTGGGAACATAGTAAGATATGATGAATGATATATTGAGACAAAGATAAACACTGATGTGAATATTTATTTTTCAGCTGGTGGGGGGAGGAAGAGAAGGGAGGGGTTTCCTCTTAAGTTTCATTTGTGGTGAGTTTAGAACAACTAAACTTGCAGAAGAGCACAATAATTAAAATCAAGAAATTGACTCACTGCAGAATTCCATATTTTTAAACACAGAACAAGAGCGGGGGGACAAGGTACTTTCACTGGGATCACATTAATTTGTTTTTTCCAAAATGTTGCTAACCACTGTCTAAGGTTTTTTCAATCAAATCTATGTCAGAGAATGGATATCAAAGGCACATTCTAGTTATGGAGGAACTCTTGCTATTTATTTGCACTGATGTGTCCCAGAATAAGGACCTGAAAGTATCATTGTGCCAGGCAGGCAACTAAGGTATACAGACTACTGAAAGAGAAGGGTGGAAGCCCATCTATGAAGCCTCTTCCTTCTGTAATCATGTCTGGAATATGTCACTACAGATATTGGATGGTTAGCAGCGTATGGAATCCAATTTCAACTGCTGGGCTCAGAGTAAAAGGATGTTGCATCTTTTTGTGCTCCTTGGGGAGTGCACCACAGGGAAAAGGTCTAGCCAAAAACATCTGAAAGCTGTGGCCACCTCAGGATCTAATAACGTAATAATATTTCAGTTCTTTGAGCTAACAGCTCTGTTGCAGGCTTAAATATGTTGCCACATTTTCCTTTACAAGCTTCTGTTTACATACAAGACCTGAACAATTGACCTGGTATTTTTCTGAATGAGAATTATTGTTGCTATGCTTTTTCAAAATGTGAAGTGGGTCACTATCTGAAATCCCTGTGCTTTCCAAGTATAGAATTTATTTGTAGAAGTGAGAAAATTTATTTTAAATAGTAATGTAAAATAGCTTTCAAATTTTCAGTGTTTTTAACAGATGATGGCAACCTCACATGTAAGCCTTGAAGCTGTAATTTTCCTATTAGGCAGGAAGTTGGAAGTAACTGCTGTTTTTCAATAAGTAATAACCATCTAATAAACCCAGTGATCACAAAGCTGAACCACTTTTGTGCACCCATGCAAATACCCATAAAGTTGAGGAAGAATCCTGTATGTAAGAATTCTGCTCGTTGCTGTTCTTTTTTTTTTTTTTTTTCTCCAGTACTTTTCAAGAAAATCTTTTTTCTCCTGTGACATCTCAGTTGGAGCAGCTCTGAATCCAAGAATGATGAGGCTCCACTTGACAAACATCTTTCTAGCTAGCTGCAGTGAACACAGCTGTCTGGAAGATTGATATAGTTCTGCTGCTGCATCGTGGCTTGTGTAGCTTGCTCTCAGAAACAGATTCGTGTCATGATCATTAGGGTGTTCAATTCCAAATGCATCAGATTGAAATGTGGAATTAAAGATGAATTGTTTTGGCCAGCTAACACCGGGTGTTATGTAGGTAAATCTATGTAATGCCTTAGTTTATTATAAGCCTCAGTATACAAATTTAAATATATACATCTTATTTCAAACTTGGTTCATATATTTATCTATATATAGATTAAAATACCACAGCTGTGTTGGTTTTGTGGAAACCTTAGCAAGGTGCCAAATCTGGAGCAGCCACTTTACCACTACTTCTGGCACACAAAAAAATTTTTTGTTATATCACAGGACCTCTGTGTAATGAAGCATAATAGTCTAATGTCCACTGCAGGATGAAAGAAGCAAGAGCTGCCGAAAGGATAAAAATGTCTTCCTCTTTCTGTTTATATATGTATTTGAAAAAGAACCTGTATCCCAATGATGCTGGGTAGTGTGCTACTCATGGTTGAAGAGAAGATTAATGTTGGATAAGCCTATTGTATTTTAATTTTCTTTGGATCTGAGTGAAGAATCCTCTATCTCCTGCAAAATCTGCATGTCAAGTTATCCAGACAGACAGTGAGGAAAAGTTACAAGCTGTTCCTGGTTGCTGGAATCAGACAATCGTGGGACACGTGATTCTGTATTAACTTGGGGAAGAACAGAACATGTTGGTCTCTTCTAGCAGCAAACTCCAGATGAGGAGCTGGAATCTCCACTGAAGTGCCGCGAACATACTGTCACATTCAGAAAGAGTATTTTTCCCCAGGCTTCTGAACTAGGAAATTACTACGTTTGTTTGCTGTTACAGGAGCAATCTGAAATCCTAATCAGACATCCTCCTGCACTTCTTGCAGTACAAACAAATGATAGAATATAAAGTGTCTGACTTGGAAAATATAAATCCGTATAACAGACAAGAGCCAACAGATCTGCTTTATAATGCAATTTGTCAAATGTGGAAAAAATTACTTTATTCAAATACAATGCTTTTCACCAAAATAGAACCATCTTGAGGAATAAATCAGTCTAACCACTTTGTTGTTAGTTACATTGCTGTTTCTTATTTACAGGAAAAATGATCAGAAGAAGGACCATAAATCAGCCATTTCAGGGTGACGGGAGGCCTTGCCCTTCTCAGATGGAGCAATTCAAACCCTGTCCAGTAAAACCTTGTTATCGATGGCAATACAGTCAATGGTTTGCATGCAAAGTAGAGGTAAAAGCCATACGGGACTTTGAAATTATGGAGCTTGTATATCTAGGCATATTTGTGATATGCTCAGATACCTGCTTCGTAACACTGCAAACAATTTGCTGCCACCTCTCATACAAAAACTAAAGGTTTATTCTTAGAGTTGATATTTGTCAACAGATACAACAATGTCCTACAGATATTCAAAGTATAAATGTAAACTTTGGTACTCAAGCAGCATCTTTGCTAATAATTGAAATCCTTCTATTGTAAAAGAATATCTGTGGAAATAGATTGGCATCCTAGAAGACACCTCCACTTGAGATACTGCTGTGGTTGCAATTCAAAGGCATAATTAGCTCCATACTTTAAGAAACAGTGGTAGCAGTCAGTACAATTTTTGGTTTGGGTTTTTGTTTGTTTGTTTGCTTCAGAAGTAAAGAACAATGTCTTTTTTTTTTTTTCCCCCTAGTGGAATAAATAAGTAATTAAGCAAAAAATAATAGGAGACAGAGTGACATGTAGCACAGATCTAGTCTTTTGGCACTTTCTTCTGTCCAGTATCCATGTATGTCCTCCTTCCCCAGGATGCTCAATGTGGAGAAGGAACACGAGTGAGGAACATTTCCTGTGTGGTTTTTGATGGATCCATTGAAGATGTTGGCAAAGTAGTAGATGAAGAATTCTGTGGAGAAATAGAGCCTATTATAGATGGTAATAAGAAGATGATACTTGAGGAAACCTGCACTGTCCCTTGTCCAGGTAACAAAGCTATTCAAATAAATGTTGCATTTCAAAATTGGTTGGGTATCTTTACAGTTATCAGTGCCTAGCATTAGCCACAGGCCATTAAATCTTTTTCACATGCTTTACTGATTGGATTCATCCATCAGGTGGCCAACAGAGTTACTTTCTGGTAGCGGCTTCATGACGATAAATCAATTAGAAAAAATGCCAGGTTTTAAATTTTATAAAAGACATGTATTAGTCACAGATTGTGCCTAATAAGAATATTTTTTTTCACAAAATCTTTTGAAATAAAACCTGCATTTATAAGAAAGTGTGTTGGTTTACAGCTGAATATTTGCTTTAAGTGCTTAGATCACCTAACAGCTTTATTAACACTTTTAACAGCGGCTAAGAACTTGATGTCTTTTACAAGTGGCTAAGGAAGCTAAGCTGGGGAGTTTTATTTTTTTGTTTAAAGGGGCTATTCCAAACTAAACTAATTTTGATGTCTGAGGAAATGTGAGTGTTTCTAGCTGTTTAACTCGCTGGACATGACAGGCACTATCATTGCCCTTGTAGACTGAATCCAAAGGAGCTGTTATAAATGATCAGGTCCATGACCCTCATACTGAGAAGGATTAAGAGCCTATAACAGCTGTTTAATTTCCAGTAAAACTCCTCCAGTTCATTTCAAACTCTGTAGAATTTGAAGTATATTGCTGTTGTTCAGTAGAGTCGTTAGTGATGTATCTTCGGTTCTAATGTAGCTATCATTCCATACCAGTACTGTATTTGTTCTCTTGCAACTCTCCTCTTTCTCAGAATTTTTTTCCAGTTCATTTCAGATTGGACTGAAGGTAAAGTTGCCTCAATAAATAGAAAATAATCAAAACCAGAGAGGCTTCCATCACTGCTTTGTGCACAGCATTCCAATTGCATGATTTTCACATATTTTTACTTATTAAATGAAAATTGGAAGAATAAAAAGCTTGTAGTTGTGTTTTCTTGTTAGTCAAATTTATAAAAAAAAAATATAGCTGCTTACTGCTCGCTTTTAAAATTTTGCTGAGCAGGAGCCTGTTCTTCAACAATCTCACATTTAGCCAGCAAAAATAACTGCCCTGTGAGGATGTGCTAATGATACGCTGCAACTAATGTTTCCAAAAAGCACTACTTGTTTTCCTATTATGTATACATCAGTTCTTCAATTATTCATTTCTTTGCATGCTTTCCTACCGTTGGCAAATAAAATTCCTTCATTAATCAGGCATCTGGTCAACACAGTACTGATTATATCTGTCATCAGTATAATGCAAGGTAGCATGAATTTTTAATAGCTCTTTCACTGAAATAATGAGAACTAAGAGGTCTATTTATGAGTCTGTGCACAATCTAGTCTACTAGATTTTTCTACTGCAGTTTTAACAAAATGGTCTCTTTGTGTTGTGCCTCAGATCTTCCTTAAATGTTCTTCAGCTGATCATGCTAATTAGTGTCATTACTATAATTTTATTTTTCAGTTTTACACTATAAGATAACATTCTACAAATCTCTATTATCCTAACATGAAATAGCCAGAGCAGACATTTTAATCACCTTCCCATTTCCCTTTCTTGCAAAGAATGTTCCAGCAGTTGCTTCTACTGTCTGGTTAGAGAAATTCTGTATGAGGATAAGCAACAATCTTTTTTAAAACTAGACAATGTTTTCTCTTTCTAAGATCAAAGAAGAATTGTGAACAAGATATATAAATTTAGCGTAAGGCATACAGTGTACAATACCCTAAAATTTATAAAAAGCCAGACATTGGGTGGAGTGTTACTCAGAAATTCAAAATGAAAGTGATCTTACGGGAATGCTACAGGAAACTACCCTGCTTCGGAACAAATAGGCTTCTGTATAATCTTTTTATTACTATTTTCTACTGCACAGATATTCAGAGAGTGTCAAAATATTATCTTAAGTATAAGTCACGTTTAAAAAGAGGAATGAAAGGATCTATAAAGAGGGAAAATTAAGAAACCAGATTTGGACATTTTTCTCTAAGACATATTCAGTACGAAAAACTCTTCACATATGATGATCATTCATCTTATAAAATTGCTATTTGACAGGGGACTGTTACTTGAGAGAGTGGTCAGAATGGAGCCTTTGTCAGCTAACCTGTGTTAATGGTGAGGATCTCGGCTTTGGAGGGATACAAGTCCGATCTCGGGCAGTGATCATTCAGGAATTAGAGAATCAACATCTCTGTCCAGAACAGGCTTTGGAAACAAGACCATGCAATGGTAAGCACCAAAATACACATAAGGCCACTTCCTGTAAGAAAAAAAATACAGAACAACAATAGTTTTGTTTTCTTTCTATTCATGGTATCAAATTTAGGCAAATATGGATTTGATAGACATAGAAATGCACTTAAATTTTTTGTTTTCCAGATATCAACTGTAAACAGAAAAACTTTCAAATGCTAACTATCATACGTTACCACTTTAAACAGAATCTTTGGAAAATTGATGATCCTTTTTTAATAATGAAATTTATTTTTATGATATGGGAAAAAATAGTTGCCTTATCTGCTTGATAACATTAATAAAAAGAAATCTTTACATTTTGATACATACCAAATTTGGATTTCTCTCTACCCTTTGAATTGTTGTTAATCACATGACAGTGACATTAAAAAGTCTCAGTCATGCTTATCGCTGATACGGGACACAGTATCTAAGAAAAGTAATTTCCTGTACAGGCATTTCTTGTCCATTCAGAGGCCAAACAGATCAGGCAAAAAGGAATTTTATATTTTTAAGGGAGCTAAGGTGCAGAAGCACTTCATGATTTATCCCAGGACATATGAGAGGTGTACAGCAGAGCTGAGATGTGAAGCCGGATGCAGCCCGGGCCACTTCTCCAAGCACTGGAGCATTGACTGAAGCTCAGTGTTACCAGGAAAGGAACCTGACTCCTAAATGAGTTTTGCGCAACAGATGGGCCACAACCATTATGAGGTTATTGGAAACATCTGTTTTGCCCATTAACTACATTAGGCTTACTTCACAAGCAGTGTATTACAACCATTATAGTTAGTGTCCGGGACACATCTGGTCTATTCTCTACGTATCCAATAAGTGCAGGAGACCTTGGGGCCTCCATGTGTGCAGTTCATCCTTCTAAGTTGCTGGGCAAAGGAGGAAGGGGCCTATTAGCCATAAAAGCTGTTAAACATAATGGGTATGGTCTACTGATGAGTGTGGCTGCTGCCAGTGGTAGCCTAAAATCTTGTCATCAAATTTCTTGAAAAGTGAATGTTTTCTGTGTAGATGGCCAATGCTATGAATACAAGTGGATGGCTAGCCCATGGAAGGGATCTTCTCGAACCGTGTGGTGCCAAAGGTCAGATGGTTTAAACGTCACAGGTAACTAGTCTTCTTATATACACGTAAAAGCCTGGAAAACAGGTGGATAATGTCTTTTGCCAACTAATGGAAATACATTTTTTTAAAAGAATCTGCTAAAAACACTTGTTCCTGATGTATGAATCAACGTGCTTTTGTCTTGAATCATTATGTTTTTGCGTCCTAAGGATGTAATTTCTTTTCCAGAATTATGCATCATGTAATGCTAAAAGTAACTATAAATATTATCTTCTGTACTGGACCAGGAATGTTTTACATTGCATATTTTTTTTACCATAGACATCTTTACACTTCTAAATTTAGGGTTTCAGATTTCAAGCCCTACAACAAATAGAACTTTTATGTATTAAAGTTCATTTCAGTGCCTATACAGAGGCAGCGAGATGCAAAGCTTGATAATATCATGCATATATATCTCCTTAAAATTACAAAATACCAAATTTTAATAAATGTGCTAATATAAGTTTATTTCTTTACTTCAATGACATAAACCTATAGCAGGATACTTCAGTGGGCAGCTATGGGATGTAGTTACTTTTTGTGCAAACCAAAGCACAAACCCACCATGAATTAAGAATGACTGAGGCCTCCGAATTCAAGAAAATCTTCATACATACCTGTTTATATGAATTTATTTATCAGAATTAGGAATTCATTTAAGCTAAAAGTTATGAATTTGTTGTTTAAATAATTTTTATATCAGCCCAGGTGATAGTAAAAGAACCCCAGAGATTGTAAACACATCCTCAATGCCAGCCACTGTCTGGTCAGTCACAGGAGGGGAGCTCTAATTCATGGACTGCCAATGCAATACTTCTTGATGGTGGAATCCACAACTGCTGTCTTTTGTAACAGTAGAAATAAAATATCTGTATTATTTTTACAAAGTTTTGAAATAATACTTAATAGCCCAAAGTCTTTTTTGCAAATGTCACCTTGTGCTGTAAAAATATTAAAATGCATCATCTTCACGATGAATGCAGCAGGGCATTATTTATGCACCTTGATTGCTTCCTGCCTAGCTAAGATGCTTGTATGGTAAGTAAAACTCCAAGAATTCTTATTGAGATTCATATATGATATTATCTATTAAAGGTCCTACAGGATTTCAAAATAAATAGCATCTTTGCGATTATGGCTCTGAGATGTTAAAATCAGAATATATTCATAAATCACAGTCAGTCACATAAAAATAATAGTTGGTTCTGATGTGACTGAATACAGCCATGTGATAAATTCCAGGAAAGACAAGTGTATGAATATGTGTTGTTGGCAGATTTTTCATGACAGGACCTCCTAGGCAGACTAACCTCGGACCTATCTTGTATCTCTTTTTTCAAAGTTTGTTTGTACGTGGTTTTAAAGCTGTGGTAACTCCCTGATTTGAAATGAAGACTAGTGGAAAATTTCAGACAATGTAATCACCAGTTTCCATGCAATGAAAAACTATATTTTTTTATACATTCCTGATAGTTTTCAAACAAAGCACTTAAGTATAATGTTCTGCGAGAACTTCTCTGGATGAAGCATACAGTCGTGAACCAGATTGTAATTTACATTTGAACATTTTTTTGAAAGTGGTTTGTATAAACTACAGTATTTAAGAGCTCAAACTGATAGATGCGCATACACGGGTGATTTAAATGGAGATTACCTATTTTGATCTAGAATCAAAATCATAGTGTATTTTAATTCAGACATTATAAAATTTTTATTATGAGTCCTGTTGGTATTTTAAGGCCTTTATTTATTTACTCACTTGCATAATACTGTTGTGCTGAATAGTTCTTTTTTACTTGAAGGTGTTGTTTCCCATGGGCGATGAGGCAACTCTTTCCCTCTGCAGCTTCCTTGGATGACTGATATTTTATTACATAGATTCCCACAGGCATGTGATTTGTATGCCAGGATGTACGATTTTCCTTTCTGGGGGTGGGGAAAACTTATGGCAACCAGCAGGGTTTTCTTTGTTCTTCATCGGCCATCCCGTTAACACTTGGATCTATGTAACCACATCTAACTGCATCTGCTATGGTCGTGACCAACCTCAACTATCAGGATTTCATCATCGTATCACACCAGTATAAAAGTGTGATTAATTTTGGAGATGCAAGATAAGTCATCCTGTAGCAGTATAAATTTTAAACTACGTGATGCATATTCCTCTTCTGTAAGCTAGAAGGAAGCCAGGTAAATTCAAACTGACTCTAACTGTATTTTAAAGTCATTCTGGCTGAAATGATAGTGAAAGCCTGATTGTGTGTATTGGTCCATAACAATAACTGCACTGTACATAAAGCTGTAGAAATGAGAACTAAGACTGTATAAAAAGGAAAAAGACTGAAACCCACTATATCATCAGTATCATAGCATTCAGTACATGCTTTACTGATAACACTTCTTTTCTTCCGAAAAATCTGTCTTAGACTAGCATGAAGTGTGGCTTCATAAGTGGCAAAGCTATAGCATGTGTAAAAGTAACTACTGAGGAGCAGCAGAAAACAGGTATCCATTCATAAACTGGATGAGTAGTTTGTTTTCAGTTTAACAGGCAAAGATATAAATCAAAAATATGCTTTTATTTTCTTTGTGGCCACAGTTTTAATATGTAAGTCATAAGGAGGGCCCTAGAGAACCAAAATCTGTTCCCTCAAGCACAACAAAACATTTCAAGTGTTTTTTGAGCAATTCACCAAAGGAACAAAGGGAAAAACAAAAGGTTCATTTGCCAAATATTAGTTCTTTAAAATGCACATGAATGTAAATACTGTGTAAATGTGCTGTATCCTTCCTTTACCTATAAGAAAATACTTGATACCAATTATCCTTCACCTTGGAATAAGAGAAGGACTCTTAAATTCAAATTAGCAGTAAAATTGTAATCCATGACATACTGTAGCAAGTAATGACATCAGTAATTTCATCAGTGGTGAGGTATTACCATGTCAAAATATGATTTTCTGTCCTACAGGGGGCTGTTTAGTGATGCGCCAACCAGATGCTGACAGGTCATGTAACCCACCGTGCAGTCAACCCCACGCTTACTGCAGTGAGGTATGTGCTACTGCATCGGAGTGTAAAACACCCCTGTGAGGGCTTCCCACACATCTCTCTGCATTACAAAGATTATGCCAGCAAAAAGTATTTTCAGAGATTTTGCTAATCATTAATTTGTTAAAATCAACCTCAGACCATTTTCTACCTTTCAAATAAATGTTGAATAATCTCTGTTGATTTGGTATGAACCTGCATAAAAATATATGAGGAGGTACTCTCCAGGCTAGCACTCATCAAAACAGTCTTCTCTTCCTGTCATCCATGTTGTTATGCTTTATGGCTCACAGAAAACTATGTTTTTCTGCTACACAGTGTAAAACACTTGTTCCCTACAGACTAGAACGTGCAGTTGTGAAGAAGGATACACTGAAGTTATGTCCTCCGATGGCACACTCGAACAGTGCACTCTCATCCCAGTGGTGGTGATCCCCACCATGGAGGACAAAAAGGGAGATGTGAAAACCAGTCGAGCTGTGAACCCTACCCAGCCCTCCAGTAACCAGTCAGGACGAGGAAGGACCTGGTTTCTACAGCCTTTTGGGCCAGGTGAAGTCATGCAATGAGCAGTTCTTAATGCTAAGTACTGCTGCAGGGTCTGGCATTTACATTTTTGTGATGCTGAGGAAGAAAAGAAAAACCCTTAAGTGTTCATTTAAGAAGACAGGCATCCACCCTGACTGAAAACAAAGGAAGAGACATAAGCAAACCCCTAGCCTTCTCAGCTGCTCTATCAATATATTTAATGAAATCTTGTATTGCAGAAGATTTCCTTTTAATCCCTTCTACCTGTTACAATTCACAGAAGCTATTTGAAATGTGACTTTAGAAGGGGTCTGGCTGCAAAGGTGCAAGCCAGGATATTAGATTATGCTGTCTCAACCAATAATGCTGTTGACAGAGGGGTGAATAGGTAGCACTGAAGACTGCAAAGGGTAAAGGCTGCTTAAAATTTGCAGCCGTAGCATAAATTGTAGGAAAATAATCAGTATAGATATGCTAATGCTTTTCTGCCATATCCATATTTAAACTAATTCATGTTAGACAAGAGCTAACCATATTATTGATATTTAGCATAGAGGTGCTTTAAGTCTCTATAGGCAATATTTGCTTTTATGATGGACCATGTTCTTTAGAGCTGAGCAAGGACTTATGTGCAAGAGTGGCAAGAAATATATTATAAGACAGTTATCCCATCAAAAATACTTTATAAAGTCCATCATGTAATCAGATTTCAGTAAATATTTCCTGGTACTATTAAGCATTGAGATAAATAAAACTTTAATTAACAAAATACTTTCACATAGAGATTTGATGCTTGTCCAAAATGTTAATGATATGAAGAGAGCAATTGGTTATCTTCTTAAGTGTCGTTTAAATCACATAGAGCTAAATATTCTAACACACTTGTGTCTTAGGGTGTTCATTTCTTTCTAAAGCTTTTATGAATGTTTTTAATCTGAGAATTGAAAACAGTATCTTTAAATGCATAATCCCTAAAATGCTGCAAATTGAGAACTACAGCGGTACTTCTAATAAGCAGATTAAATCATGTTTGGGTTAGAAATACTTATGTTAGCTCCCATTAGTCCTACTAGTATTTACTGTTATTTGTACTGTGATACTATATTTGATACCTGCAATAAAATGGTCTTTACGCCAATTAGTTATACTTTAATCCACAATAAAAAAAGAAAATCAAGCTTTTCTGGTCCTCCTTTAAAAAAATAGCATCTTAGCAAATGTGTTATCTTTTCCTCATTCTAGCTAACTCCATCTGAAAATGCCAGAGGGTGGGTTGTAGCAGCCAGAGTGCCGACAATAAACAAATGTCAGACAGTCATCTTCAACTATTTAGGAACATGGATGCTCGTGTGAGCTCAGGCATGGTTTTTGGAGCAAGGAACAGTTGAGAGATTTCATGAAAACTTAACAATTTTCCAGTAATTCAAGTTAGGAAGGAAACATAGCTCAGCTCAGGTAAAAACATCAGTATTCAATAGAACTAATTTTTTATGCAGTGAAGGTATGAGCAAATGTGGAAGAAAGTGAAAATTTCGCACTTCAGATGAGATTTATGCTTGATTGTTTTAAGTCCAGGATTGGGTATCTATTGGAAAGGTTTTGATTTACTCCAGCATGATTATTCCTTTCCTCACAGTTTCTAAGTCCAGATTTAAAATAGTTCTTTCACTGTCTTCAACAAATTACATTGCAGTTCCAGAAAAGAAGGTATTAAAACTATCCTCTTCAGGTGTCTGTGCTGATGTACTACCCAAAACAGATGAGTATGTGATGCCAATTCCCTTGTATACTTAGAAATAATCTGTCCAGGGAGAACTCAGAAAGCCTGAGTTAGATGCCTGTAGTTGCACAATAGGGAAAACCTCATTAACAGAGTTCCCTGCTTGACAAAAATAAATACATACATACACAAGGTAATGCCAGCCTTTTAGTCAAGAAGATAATACTATTATAAAACAAGCAAACCCAAACCAACCCGAAACCCCTTATATTTACCAATGGAAATAAGCCAAAGAGAGAAGAAACTAACCTATTTAGCAGTGCTGAAGTCTGAATTCCTCTCATTCGTATTATCATATCATTGGATATGTCAGGTCAAATCTACTGTTCAATTCATCTTTAACGGATCAGCTATTTCAGTTATATCAGTTATTATCAGTTATAATGTTTCATTAGGTTGATTAATGTAATGAAGCTAAAATGTTTTTATATTGATTAGTCTCAAACAAGTTGTCCACATGACTGCAAGACTTTGCATTGCTAGAGAACAGAAAGCCTGAACTTAACTGCACAGCAGTAGAGAGCACTACTGTGAATCTTGGCAAAGTCAGTCTGACTAATTTTTGTTATTATTACATTGTAGAAACATCAACTGCATTGATAATGCCTTTTTGTTCTACAGAGGTATCAGGAAGCAATAAGTATTTGGTCAGAAAAATTTTAGCTGTGTTTGCTTACAGCGAAAATATACACGACTTCATGAAATAAAAATTTTGCCCTTTGTAAATGAAATAATTAAGCTTTTTTATGGAATTTTCATTGTCAAGGAGGTGCAACAAGGCTAGCTAACCTCCTGTAAAAGAATGTTTTCAAAAAGCCATTTAGAAATTTGCAAAATTAGTCAGATAAAAATAGAGAGTCAAACAACATGTACTGGCCTGGGGTTGTGACATACTCATTTGGGGTTCAGAGCAAAACCTCACAGACAGAGGAAGTCACACCCGTTCTTCCCTCATTTTCCTGGGGTGAGTGCACCTAGGATCAAGGCAAGCAGGAGAGTGGGATGTATACCTCAGCCTGCAAGGACATCATGTCCAAAATACAGACTGCAGAGGCTGTGCATAGGTACAGTCCTTATTAACAACAGACAGTTGTTCTATTTATGAGCATGGGTTGGCTTTTTTGGTGTATTTTTGCTTGTTCTGTGAGGGGAAGATGTTTTGTAACAACAAAACTTGCATTTGGTAGAGGAAGAAATTGAAAAATTATTACTTTATGCAGTAGTGAAAGTTGTGTATGTGCAGTTAAGGTATGGATGAGGTAAAACATGCTAAAGGTATTTAAAAACATAAAATTAAATAGCAACAAGAATGAATGATAATAACAGGCAGATTGATTTTCCATTTAGAATGGAAAGTGATGCTAACGGCATAAATGAGTCCCAGGCTGACCCGCTGCCCTGCGATCACGCTGAAGGATTGTCTGCTACCGGCAGGCCCAGAGGCTGGGTTTCTGGGGGTCTCACTTGCTGCCTTTGCCCCACACCTTGGCTCCATTCAGATTATCCAGACTTTGGCTGAAAGGCGAAACACAAGTGCACAGAGAAGCTATTGCTCAGTTGTTTAATAGTATTTACTCTTATTAAGCTGTACTTGCTAGTGAAGACATTTATTTTGGATTATAAAAGTATTTCTATACTATATCAGAACTAATAATTCAACAAGACTAACTCAAGCACTACTGACTAACATTCATTCCTTTTAGATGGGAGGCTGAAGACCTGGGTTTATGGTGTAGCTGCTGGTGCATTTGTTTTACTCATCTTTATTGTTTCTATGATCTATCTAGCCTGGTGAGTTCTTTAATTATTTACAAACAAGCAGTCCCACACAGACTGTAATCAAGCGTTTACATATGCTGCTGTAGAAACTGCAGGCACTTCTGTGAACTGCAGTGTTTAATTTTCCATATCCTTTTGTCCAAGCTCAGGTTGGTGGACTCTGGTTTTAGTCTAGATGATGGACTCTCACATGCTCTCCTGAGGTTAGGACTTCTTACAAATACGGGGTAGCTTAGTGTATAGTTTATTTTTGCTCAGTTTCTCTCTGTTAAGAATGTACTGTGTCCATGATAATTTCATTGCGTCTGTATCACAAAATGCAGAGAGAAATAGCAAGAAGGAAATTTAGTAATCAGGCAAGTCAGAGTTGATATTTGGCAGGATATGGAGGTACATCAACCAAAAAAAGTCTGAAAACTTTCTCATGTGTTTTTCATACATGAAATAATATTTTGTTGAAATATCGTAACGCATGTGAAAGCAAAGTTTTTTTGCGAGAACAGGTCACCTTTGAGAATGCTCTCCCTGAAGTTTTCTAGGTCCTGTTTGGAATTTCTGACCCAAATGACTGTGCAGGTGGAAGGTGAGGGAAGTGTGGTCGTACACGTCAGGCTCTTGGCTGTACTGCATTAGTAGGCATTTGGGGGGCTTCTGGTTTGTTTGTTTTTTAGTAAACCTTCCCCAAAATCTCACTTACGTCTAAGGAACAAAATCTTTTATTTTTTGAGGAAAAGAAAATCCGTTAGCATACAACTCTACTGCAGATTCTTCAGGATGGAATCTGTGGCCACTGCAAGCCACTGTAACAACTGGTTTGGTAACAAAGATTTAGATTTGGGCAGCCTAAGTGACATAGCTGAGATAAGATTTTGGACGAGACTGAGGATGCACAGGCCTGATTTAAAGAAATGCTTATATTACACTCTAAAAGAAGACAAGTACTAAAGCATGCATAAACATGCATTTTCCTTTGGCTTGGTAATTTTCTAAAACTATATCAAATGGATTGGAAATACTGCTGGATTAAAATCTAATTCAAGGCTAGTCAGGGAAACCATATCCCTGCTATTTATGACTGGTTTGTTTATAACATCTAGAATTAACTGTGGTCATTCCAGCAAGTATAATGAGATAAAACTAATCAAAAGATGGAACTTTCCTGTGGAAACCCTTGATGTGTCAAGAGAGGTTAAGATTTGAGTCATATAATTTAAAAGAACCTGATTGCGGCTTTGATACGTGACCAAATATTGCACTGCAGGCTCTGGGTTCTTCTGAAAACGGACTGATCTTGCAGGATTACCTGCCAAGGATTTCGTCAAGTCACATCAGCACCATAACAGCCTGTTTCTGAACAACTGAGCTTTCAATTAGATGTTGCTTTGGGTTGATGAAGTGATCATTACCGATCCAAGTGAAGGTTTTAGGCTTATGGCTTTTACAAATGAACAACCAAATGCATTCTCTTAAAACAACACACTCATCTTTCATTTAAGATTGAAATCCATCTTTGCTATGTTATTAGTTTCTTGTTCTATTTACAAATTATCTTATTGTTTCAGCAAAAAGCCAAAGAAGCCCCAGAGAAGGCAGAACAACCGACTGAAACCTTTAACCTTGGCTTATGATGGAGATGCAGATATGTAAAATATAACTTCTCATGGTGACAAATGGAGTCTAAATTAATGGATTGAAATCAGAAGGTATCCAAAGCCACAGGGATTTTCTATGGAGTGGATTAAGTGTTTTGACTTTTTCTTTTTTGTAACTGCACCATAGATAAAGAAGGATGGATTTCATAATGCCTACGGATATTCAAGGTATTATTGCTTTACTTTAGACCATCAGCACTGAGAAATCTGGCAGAATCACGTTAATAGACACTGCAGTTGGAGATTTGTGGTCTTTCCTCAATCTTACAAACTATAAGTACCACTTCTGTCTCCAGAATACTGTAGCTGACATAGTATTAACAGTTGAAAGCCCCTGCAACATTAACCAAGTATAATCAGTACGCATGAAGAGTTTGTACCAAGCTGTCTATGACTCTTTATATTAGAGCATAACATATATACTCAGTTGAATCATATGTATTACTCTATCAGATTATATACTTGTTAAAGAGCATTTTAGTGCTTAGTACAATATTACCTTTTAACTGGGATTAACCCACTGAGCAAGTTCAACAGTTTGCCAGTTGATGATAACTTGTGTTAACCTGCATTTCAGAGGGCAATGACTCACTTGCAAAATTCTGTCCTGTTATCACTCCAAAGTCTAAAGGCCTCGGATGTACATCCAGAAAGGAGGCATTCTCAGATTCAGTATTTTCTAGCGGTTGCTGTCTGGAAAAAGAATACCCATTGTAAATGTTACAATACGTTTCTACTTCCTCTAACTCAAACTGTTGCCTGCATCTTTTTTGCTACATGTAAGGCAAATTTTTGCACTATATTAGTGCAGCATGATATGCACTTAACTAGTATTGCCATAGAAACTGCCTCTTTTCAGAAAGGATGATGATGTATCTTGTGCAAGGAGTGTCAAGTAGACAGGTCTTGAATCCTGAAGAGAGTAGCGTTCGGTTTGGACTGCGACTGGATGGAATCGGCTAACGACGTGTACTGTACACACCGTTCCTCGTCACAGCAGCCATTTGTAGTCTATATCATGGCAGTAATACAAGTGTCTAGTTTCTTGCCCCATCTACCTATACTGGTATAGATTGTCCTGTTGGTTTCTAATTGTACTTTGAAGGCTGTTTATGACTAGATTTTTTATATTTGTTAACTTTGTTAGAAAAAAACAGAAAAGAAAAAGAAAAGTGGTTGCCCTGTAATCTTGAGTGACATACTTACTGTCTAAAAAGGTATTCTGATTGTTTGTTCAACTAAAATAAAATGGTTTTGCTTTTTTTTTCCTGCCGCTAGTGAGAGCATTTTCACTGTTGCTGACAGTGCAATACTCAGAGCCCTTTTGTCTTTTCTAATTAGGATAATTGGATAGACTCTTTTAATTATTCAGTTAAACTCTTGAGTGTACTGGCAAGTAAACAATAAGATCAATAGTTCTGGCATTTTAATACTCATGACTTTTTTAAAAACTCTGACAGTATAAAAACTCACTGTTAACCTCTTCCATGCTTATGGCTTTTCAGTGTTACGCTTCCGACATGAAGCTCATTGACTTGCCACTTTATCTACATGCCTGTTACAGATGTGATTCATCACCTGAGAAAGGTTATTCTCATCAAATGGCTTCTATGTGTAGCCTGAACATATAAGTGACTGTGCCACTACTAAGCAATACAAAACTTTATCAGGCAACCTCTCAAAAATAATTGTTATATAAAGTTCAATATTAGGTTCTCAGGTCTTTTTTATAACCTAAACCATTTCTGCCTACTCATGACGCTATTTACTCAAGAAGCACCAGTTTTTGCATACTGAATAAAACTGTAGCTTTGCAAACTTTGGCCCAGACCCACTGAAATCGATGACAAGACTCTTGTGGACATCAATGGGTAATATCGGTCCTTAAAAATACATACTTTTGTTCCATGTAGAATAATTCTTGGAACCAATGTGCATTTTGTGAATGTTCAAGAGAGATTACGGTCCTACTTTAACTTAGCTGACTTACTTATATTACCAGTGTGGTGTTACTGCATCAAGAAAATGATCTTCCTCCCACTGCATAAGTAATCCCCAAACGGGAATGATGAGCAGAGAGGGACAACAGTAACAATCTTCTGTACAGGTTTAATTTCTCATTTTATATCTTGATCTGGCCCCAGCCGGTGAAGTGCCATGGCCTTCTTGCCACAGCAGTGGTTCATTCATATACGTGTTGCAGGAGTGGGGGCTTCAGTCTTACATTGCTTTGTAAAGATCCATAGGAAAAAAACCCAAATCTTGATGAATTTAATTACTTCAGCATTCTTGAGTAGAAAACAAGAAAAACCTAGTTGATTCCTATTTTATCAGACATACAAAAAATAAAGTGGAAAAGTTATAAAGTTTTAAAGAATGGTAACTATCATGTGGAGACAGAAAGCTTAATCATGATTTCTGTGCTTTTAAAAGTCTGATTCTGTGTTGTCAAATAGTATTGAACCAATAGGGAATTGAGGGAACAGGGTTTCTTTCATTGGCAATGAGTCCTCTTTATTTATTATACTGGCTGGTCTTAGCAGGAGCTGTTGCCTAGTTCTTGCCTTGAAGATTTTTATGTCCTAAATCTAAGAATTTAATAGCTTGAAGTTAAAGGTATGCCATCTCCTTTTTCTCACTGTATAAAATGGACAAATGAAGAAAGAGATAGGAGGGGGGTTTTAAGTATGTTTGGCCTTTGAAATCCATGCAAGTAATTTTAGTATGTGTTACATTTTATATCTGGTCAGTGAATTTTGCTGGTGCACATCTGCATCTAGTGCAGTGCTGTACTAGTGCTGCATTTAAAATCTACAGTGCTTTTTTTTTTTTTTTTTTTAACAAACAAAGTGCACAGAAATTTGAAGCCAGAATGGCTTCCCTCATTATCAAGAAAAACAAAATTAGGCTATAAGGACGGCTGAAATTATATGTAAAGCTGAAAGTTGCAAAGGTGATTAAGCCCTTTAGCACTGAAACAGAAATAAATAATAGGTGAATTATCAGTTTAGAATGAAAAGCAATTTGCTTTAAAAATCAGAGTGCTTCTACAAATCCAGTGCCTAAAGCAGCCACTACTGTAGATTGTTAGTTTGTGAAAGTAATGTTTCCAGTGATCAAATAAACCATTCGGAAAATAGCAAAGTAGACATTTTCCTGTTGATGTGGTGGTTTGTATTTGCCTTTCTAAATCTGTAGTTTCTAGATTACTGTGTCTGCTTTGAGTCCTGGAGCAGTTCCTTTTTGAAGCTTTGGTGCAACTGCACTAGCTTGTTTATATTTGATATAAAGCATCAATTTTGAAACTCCCTTTCTCCTGCCAAAATGTAATGAAGTTTGTTTTCCAATATTACAATCTGAAGAGACCAATTTAAAAACTCTGTGTATAAATCACTGTAAAATATACCTTGAATGAAATGGAAATCTGTCTTTTTACCTTTATGTAAATTGTGCTCACCCAAAGTTAAGAGTTTATTTTGCCTAACTTAATTTACTTGAATATTTATTTTGTAGAACAAGGAGGCAGCTGTCTGAGGAATGTTTACCTTTTTTTTGTTAATGTTAATTTGTAAATTGTGTAATGCATTTTTATTTTTTAAATTATGTATATTTCTTTTTTAATGCACAAAATGTTTACGTACAACTACTGCAAATTTGTGTATATTGTCACTAAGCTTTATTCAGTTAATACAGATGACATGAAAATGTAACACGTCTTACATTTTCATCTGGGTTATTTTTACATAACTGATGTATTGCTCACAATAAATATAAACACAAAATCATTTCCTGTCGTTTTTTAACAGATGTAGTATACTATGCTGGGATAATTAACAATAAAAGCCAGATCCCTAAAATATGACCACCTTTTAAATGGTCTCTTTTTCTGAAAGAAATTAGCAAACATACCCTTGTTAAAATTAGGATTTCTCTTTAAAAAGAAAGAAAAATACTTTCTAATGTTAAAGTAACTATCAAAGCCCACTGCTACAGTCCTGTTGACATAGAAATTTACAATGAGTATTTACTTCATCAATTAAATATCCATTAAATATCCAGTAAAATTAATAAATCAATTGTGTCTTAAATTTTCTTCCTTAATTGCCATTTTTAGGTCAGGAAAAATAACCCATCTGTGGAGAATAAGGGGTTAAATATCCAGTAAAATTAATAAATCAATTGTGTCTTAAATTTTCTTCCTTAATTGCCATTTTTAGGTCAGGAAAAATAACCCATCTATGGAGAATAAGGGCTGGATCAAGGTCTCACTAAAAGACATCTATTCACTTCAGTGAAGCTGAATCTGTCCGTGTCCCTATACGAGAAGGAACAGGGAACAAAATCCCCTCCTGCAAATAAACAAACATGCCCAATGCAATCAATAAATTTGTCCTTTACATTCCAGTTGTTGAATAACTGTTACCAAATTCACTCTAATTTCTTCTAGAATCAAGAATTTGTTGTTGATTACCTAGGACAAAAAGTGACTCTGCATTTGTTTTCATAATTGACCCCATTCTGTCTCTGTGCTCTCCAAAACGCAAGTTTTCCATGTCCATTTCTGCAGCATATATTTACACATCAGTTCATGGGGTTTTGTTCAATTTCGTTAGTTATTACCTTCCCAGTAACCTTTCCAGGCTAACTCTTAAAAGGTTTAAACCCAATTTTGAGAGCACACAACTCTGATTTTAGAGACATTTCAGGATTTTCAAAAGTACCTCCTCCCTACATTTTCTCTTGCTGAAATCCACAGAAAAATAACAGAAGCATTGGGCTTGTCTTCCCACCTGCAATTTAATAGAGGAATTGTTTAGATCATTTAAAGTTGGTTAATTCCGTACAGGCAGAATTCTACAAACAAGTAAAAAAGATACTTGCGAGAAGAAAATTAAAATTCTCATTTAAACTCTGCAGAAGAGAATTACCTATGGGATGCTAATGCAGATCATAAGGTCTTCACATTCAGTAAAGAAAACATATGGTAGGACTTTG